TGTGCAAGCATGTGCATGCAGTTGTGCCTGTAGATCCCAGAGGACAACCTTTGCTGCTGGTCTCAAGGGGTGTCCACCTTTGGTTTGGGGGCAGGGTCTCACCAAGCACAGGAAGTCCTGCCTGCCATTCTTCCTCCTCCTCTCCAGGACTGGGACTATCAGCACACAATGTGATGTCTGGTTTTTTTTAATGTAAGTTCTGAGGATCCAACTTAGGGACCCATGCTTGTATGGAACTATTTTACCAACTAATTTATCTCTCTAATCTTGCAAACTTTTTTTTTCAATTTATTTTATATCATGGCTTATTGTCTTTTATAGAATAATTTAAGAAAAAAAATGTACTTTCAATTGTTCCAGGAAGAATTCATTTCATACATTTCAACGCAAGTTTAAATAATTTCTTTGAAGCCAAAAGACAGTTACCGTCTATGTCCCAGTTTCCTCAAAAAAGCAAAATAAACCTAGGCAATCAGACCACTAACCTCCAACTAGGGACTTTTCACTGAGGTTATTACTTGAATCATTCTAAAAATATTTAATAATTATTTATTATTTTTATTTTGTGTATGAGTATATTGTCTGAACCCATATATTGTAAGTGCACCCATGTCATGCAATGCCCGTGGAGGTCAGTAAAGAGCACTGGATCCCCTAGAATTGGGGCTATAGATGGTTATTAGCTGTCATGTGGGTGCTGGGAACTAAACCTGGGTCTTCTGCAACAGAAATCAGTATTCTTAACCTTAACCACTGGGCCATCTCTCCAGCCACATCAATCAAAATTTTTATATTACTTGCTGAAATAAACTTCAAAATTTTCATGTGCCAAATCTTATATTTTTAACATACAACATTTCTCCCCCTTTACCATGTTCAGGAAGCTGAAATCAGAATTTATAATGGGACATTGTATGTCTGATGAGCCCCCAATTTCCAATATATGTTTCTTTCCAACATCTCTTCTTGTTTCATAGCTGCTTTTTAAAATGTTTCAACATTTTAATTTAACACGTAAATCATTAAGTTTATTTTTTAATTTGGTGTAATATTTTCTAAATTATGAGCTTTGGCAAACTTTATTGCTACTTTACAAAAATATGCCTATTGTGTTCAAGCTAAAAATTAATTTTTTAATTAAAAATACGTATTTACTTCTCCTAAGAGAGATGTTTTTTCGTTTACCAAGAATCTCTTCCACTTACGTTTTCTGTTACTGTTCTGTGTCCACAGAGTTAATTTGGTGTAATATTTTCTAAATTATGAGCTTTGGCAAACTTTATTGCTACTTTACAAAAATATGCCTATTGTGTTCAAGCTAAAAATTAATTTTTTAATTAAAAATACGTATTTACTTCTCCTAAGAGAGATGTTTTTTCGTTTACCAAGAATCTCTTCCACTTACGTTTTCTGTTACTGTTCTGTGTCCACAGAGGCTAAGCTGTTTTTCACTTGCTGGCTTTGTGATCTTCAGCAAATCATTAACTCAGTCATCTGACTTCTTTCATTTTGGTCCTCTCTCTCTTCTCTTTAAAGTAGTTAAAGGTTTGTCAATCTTGTTAATCTTTCCAAGGAATCAGTTCTTCATTTCATTGATTCATTGTATTGATTTTTCTCCTTTTCTATTAACTTTAGCCCTGATTTTTTATATCTTTGGTGTA